TTAATAATAATAATTTTTAAATAGTATAAAAAATTACTAAAAAATATCACTAATAATATTTTAATATTAAATAATTTATAAATATTTATATCTAATATTGTTATAAGTGCACACGGTAATAAATAAACTATCAAGATTGATTCAAGCTTGAATAAAGACTGGATGTTGAAGCTCCACTCACGAAGATTGACCGAGTGTTAAATCGAGCATGGGACGAACATTGGTGTCCCATGCTGAACCAATATTCAGTGACAATGATATAAAGACTGCTTCAACTCTGGGTTACCCACGCTGGGCGTTCAAGACTCAGTCAAGTTTCAACCCATCGTCAGCACTGGTCTTTCGCGCCTGGGAATACTTACATTTTGAATACAAAAAGATTTTTTTTGAAATTTTTAGGTTTTTTGAAAGTTTGCTGCAAATTTTCCTCAAGTTTACTACAAAATTATCTGCAAGTTTGCCACGCAAGTTTTCTGCAAATTTGCTCTGCAAACTTGCCACCAAACGGACATTTTGGTATTTACCGCAAGTTTGCTGCAAATTTGCCAGGCAAGTTTTCAAATTTGGCTTTGAAAACTTGCCGCAAATTTGCAGAAAATTATTGTGCTATGTGGGATGTAGGTAGTTAAACGTGACTAAATGAATTAATCAAAAAAAATTGTATTAAAACATCAGTTATTTTTAACTAATTATTAGAAAAAAATATTTTTAACTGATTCAATAATTTTGAGTGTAGAATATAATACATAATGTCAAATGTATAAAATTCACATTAAAATTTACGTGTGTGACGTGACGTTATAGGGGGAGGGGGGGGTCAAGGTTTGTGACGAAGTGTGACATAGGGGGAGGGAGGGGTTAAAAATGGTCAAAAATCGCGTGACGTATTATGTGTACGGCCCCTTAGATGTTTCTTGGCTCGGTGAAACTAGCGACACGCAGGCCGCCAGCCATCAGAAAAATCCAAAGGCGCCGACACACATAGTAGCGCGGTGGCCCTATACGGTTCAATAATCGCAAAAACATAACAAACGCTAGCCACTACAGTTTATAGAAAAAATTACAATAGTCACATTTTAAAGAGCAATAATCCCCCTTAAATTTGTGACCAAGAAATAAAAATTTGGTCTAAAATTGTTCCAGTTATGAATTTTTTTTCGATTTATTTTTCAATTTTCGTTTTTCTGATACGGGCGGGTGGGGACGCTGGCTATCAAAAATTTTCTAAACATATTCTTATTGGTCCAGTGACAAGAAGCATTAATCCCTTTTCAATTTGCGACCAAGAAACAAGAATTTGGTCGAAAATTGTTCGAGTTATGAATTTTTTTTAAACTTTTTTTTCAATTTTCGTTTTTCTGATACGGGCGGGCGGGGACGCTGACTATCAAAAATTTTTTAAACATATTCTTATTGGTCCAGTGACAAGAAGCAATAATCCCTCTTTAATTTGCGACCAAGAAACAAGAATTTGGTCGAAAATTGTTCGAGTTATGAATTTTTTTTAAACTTTTTTTTCAATTTTCGTTTTTCTGATACGGGCGGGTGGGGACGCTGGTTATCAAAAATTTTCTAAACATATTCTTATTGGTCCAGTGACAAGAAGCATTAATCCCTCTTTAATTTGCGACCAAGAAACAAGAATTTGGTCGAAAATTGTTCGAGTTATGAATTTTTTTTAAACTTTTTTTTCAATTTTCGTTTTTCTGATACGGGCGGGTGGGGACGCTGGTTATCAAAAATTTTCTAAACATATTCTTATTGGTCCAGTGACGAGAAGCATTAATCCCTCTTTAATTTGCGACCAAGAAACAAGAATTTGGTGGAAAATTATTTAAGGGAAAAATTATTTAATTTTAGACCAAATTTTTATTTCTTGGTCACAAATTAAAGGGGGATTATTGATCTTTAAAATGTGACTATTGTAATTTTTTCTATAATCTGTAGTGGCTAGCGTACGTTGATTTTGCGTTGATTGAACCGTAAAGGGCCACCGCGCTACTATGTGTGTCGGCGCCTTTGGATTCTTCTGATGGCTGGCGGCCGGCGGGTCGCTTGTTTCACCGAGCTCAAGAATTCAATTATTTTCAAAAATTTCAATAAAATCGTTTAAAATAATTCAATTATTTTCATAAATTTTTTTAAATTATTTATTAAAATTCAATTATTTTCATAAAAATTAAAAGTTCTCGAAAGAATTCAATTATTTTTAAAAATTTCAATAAAATGCTTCAAAGTAATTCAAGTATTTTCTAAAATTTTTTTAAAATTCTATTTAAAAATTCAATTATTTTCATAAAAATTAAAATCTTCGCAAGAATTCAATTATTTTCTAATTCAATTTTAATAAAATTTCTAGAAAGAATTCAAGTATTAATGTCAAATAATAAAATTCTTTACAAGAATTCAATTATTTTCTGAAATTTTAATAAAATTCTATATACAATAATTAAATTCTTTTAATTTCAATATAAAATTATAAAAGTTACGAAACTTTATAACATTTTTTTAATAAAAACAAATACTACTTAATCGGATTTTGCATTAATAAAAATTTTTTTCTGCAATAATTTATAAATATCTATTTTTATGTTTTAAACTGATAAATTTAACTTACAAATTAATATTATGCATTTGCTGAGCCTTGAACCCTGTACATATACAGGGAGAGTAAATAAAGTTTTAACTTACAAATTAAATTACGATTATTAATTGCAAACAGTTGTGTTTAATTAATTTCTGTTAATATTTAAACTACGAAACATTCAATTAGAATTTAATTAATTAATTGATTCAAAACATTTAGACAAAGAGAAAATTATCAAAAATTTAGAAAATAAAAAGCTATCAAAAGCAACTAATTTCAAACTCCGAATAGACTTTCAAAATACGATTATTAATGTTGATGATGATTTTAATTATATAAATATATAAATTATATTTTAAATCGTATTTTAAATTATATTTTATAATTTTTGGTTTTAATTATAAAAATATAAAAAAATTTTAAAATGTTTTTCGTTTGTAAAATGAAATAAGTAATAAATTATATAAAAGCAGAATCAGTAAATTTTTTTCTGTAAGGATTACTTATATCACATCAGGAAACTACCCCTCTGAATCGTGAAGTGACGATAACAGCCGGGGGTTTCTGAAACTAATTGGTTAGTTGGATGGTTCAACAACCATGAAATATACATAGATCATACCTGACTAGGAGATCAAGTTACTTCGTCTAAATGAAATGTGCTATAGTTTTCGAAGATAACGTCACAACTACCTGGAAGAAGATCTGACAGCTTTTTTCCACATTCAAACTTATTTTATGTGAATAACATTCAAAAGTGGATTTTCACGTTTTAAATTCTTTTTCAACACTCTAATTTTCTTTTAAAACAAAACCTTCTCTTTTTTTAAACGAGAATGTAAAAATTAAAAGAAAAATAATCATCGTTTCACGGTAAAAAAGCACAGGCCTCGGATCCAAAAAAACAGTCGCTTTAGTAGATTAAAAATACAAAAAAGTCGAAAAAGTCGTTTGTTTAATTCAGTGTCATCAGAAAAATTTAATTTTTGATTCTTCTGATCGTTCACTGATTTATAAATTTAATTATTTAAAACTTTAATAATTTCGTTAAATAAATATTTAAATACTTCTTGTTTATTTTTATACGGGAATAAAATTTTAAAAATTTCTATTTAAAACCCTTTTGAAATTTAATAACTTCTAAAAATTACAACTTTAATTCTCTTAAAATTCAATTATTTTCTACAATTTCTAATTAAACTTCTTTTCGAAATCAATTATTTTTAATAATTTTCCAAAAGTTCTTAGAGAATTCAATTATTTAAATACAACTTAGTTGTTGTGAATTTGTTGTAAAAATGTATTTAAAAATATTGAAAATAATAGAATTTTAAAAAATTAGAATGCAAAAATTCTAAGAATTATTTTTATCAAAAATATTTTTATACAATTTTTTTAGTTATAGCTAATTTTCATTAATTACCACTTTTAAATTTACACTTGAAGATTTTTCATTAAAATTTTTGAGAAATTAATTATTTTCAAAATTAGCAATTAAAATTCTTTTAAAGTTTATTTTCAAAAATTTTTATCAAACACTTTGAAAAAAATCAATTATTTTCAATTAAATTTTACAAAATTTCAATTATTGAAATTCTTTCTTATTGTAAATTTTCAAAAATTTATTTAGTAATTTATAAAAATAGTTGAATTGTTAAAATGTTTCGAAGAAATTATTAAAACGTTTAGGAAATAATTGAATTTCACGGAAATATTTGAAAATAATTGTATTCCTCCGAGAAATTCAATTAAAGATGTTTTGAAAATAATTGAATTCCTGCAAACAATTTTACTATTTATAAAAAATAATTGAATTCTTGCGAAAGAATTTTACCATTTATAAAAATAATTGAATTGTTTCTAAGGATTTATTAAGATTTTAGAAAATAATTGAATTTATTCGAAATATATTAAAAATATGGTTTTAAAAATTAAATTCTTCCGAGGAATTTAATTTCAATTATATTTTCAAAATTTGCAATTAAAATTCTTCAAATGTTGATTTTCAAAAATTTTTATAAAACACTTTAAAAAAATCAATTATTTTTAATTAAATTTTACAAAATATCAATATTTCTTGAAACACTTTTCAATAGTAAATTTCGAAAATAAGTTGCATTTTATACTAAAAATTATTGCAATATTCGGAAGAAAAGAAAAATTTAGAAATATGTAAATAAATACCAGTTTTAATAATATAATTTAGAAATAATTAAATACTCGTTTAAATAAACGAATTCTATGAAAATAAATTAAAAAAGTACATTTCTTTTTAATGATATCACTTAATAGATCAATTTACGCATGAGAAGATGAATATTCGTAGAAGAATCATTGTGCGATTGGCTGGCAATAATTTGCAATCTATAAGTTTCGAACGAAACAAATGCTTTTAATTTGAAAAATAACTTACATTTGTCTGCTTCGTGACAAAAAAATGGCCTCGTTTTGTTGCTGATTGATTCCCTTCCTCACTTTCATCTTTTACACTCCAATCGCTGCACCCCAAACCACTCACAGCTCGTTGCACATCAGATTGATCCTCCTATTAGACATTGTTTTTTAAATTAATACTATTGATTTCGCTCAATTCCATTTACAAAAATAAAAAATATTTTCTGTAAGTATTTCACTATAAAATTTTTAATGTTCAAAACAAAAATAAATATTTGTTAACAAAAATCAAATTTTAACGAAATAGGAAAAAAACTATAAACTATAAATTAAATTTTTCATAACTATAAAACATGAAGACATCGATAACTCCGAGTCTTCGACTCGGAGCGATCGATTTCTTCATGTTTTATAATAATTAAAGATGACCGAGTGATAAAATCATTATCAATTCAATTATTATTTTTTCAAGAATTTTTAAATAAAATTCTTCTTTAAATCCATTATTTTTAATAATTTTCGAAAAAGTTCTTTGACAGTTTTCAAATCCATTTATTTACAATGCTCAATTTTACAAAATTTTAATTATTCGTAAATTCTTCAATCCAATATATGTATTATAGAAAATAAATGAAATTACTCGATCAGTTTTATTATTTGTGAAAATAATGGAATCACTAAGAAGAATTTTAATTTTTTTGAACAATATTTAATTTTTGCGAAGAATATTATTACTTTTGAAAATAATTAAATCTCTGCAGTAATTTGTAACTTTTCCAAAATTTTTTTTTTTTCGTGTTTTAAACTAAAATTATTCTTTAAATCAATTTTACAAAATTTCAATTATTCGTCAATTCTTCAATTTTATATTATATTAGAAAAATAAAAAACTTGAAATAATTTCAAAAAATATTCGAATAAACTTTATCAAAAAAATTAATTCCACAAAATTGTTAAAAATTTAGTTGAAAATGAGACAATTGAGTTTTGAAACCTTTTCAAAATTCAATTATTTCTAAAAATTCAAGCTCTAATGCTTTTAATATTCAATTTTAATCTAAAATTTTAACTCAAATCTATTTTTAAATCAAGTTTTTTAAAAAATTCGTCTAGAATTAAATTGTATTTAAATACAAAAAAAAAATTTATTGAATAATTGCATGTTTCTCAAAATTGAATTCTTAGAAAGAATTTAAATCAATACATTTTTAAATAACTGAATTATTCTTTTTGACGAGTTTTAATAAAATTTTTAAGAATTTTTTGCAATAATTACATTTTTCAAAGACTTCGATGAAAATTGTATTAAAAAGTATTGAAATTAGGCGATGATTTTTATTAATTATAAATATAATTGAATTCCTAAAAAGAATTTTATTATTTATGGAAATAATAGAATTTCGGAAAGAATTTTACTAAAATTCCGAAAAATAATTGAATTCTTGTGATGGTAATTGTTATTAATGGAAATAATTGAATTTTGGAAAGAATTTTACTAAAATTCCGAAAAATAATTGAATTTCTGTGAAGAATTTTATTACTTTTGAAAATAATTGAATTCTTGTGAATAATTAAATCTGTAAAGAATTTTTCTTGAAATTCCTAAAAATAATTGGATTTCTTTTAATAATTTTATTATTTATGAAGATAATTGAATTGCTGACAGGATTTTTGTTAAAATTCTTGAAAATAATTGAATTGTTGGAAATAATTAAATTTCTGAGAAGAATTTTATTATTGATAAAGATAATTGAACGTTTAAAAAAATATATTATTAAAATAGTAGACATTCAAAATCATTGAATTGAGGGAAATTTTTTGAAAATAATTGAATTTCGGAGAAGACTTTTATTTTTATGAAAATAATTGGATTTTTGGAACTAATTTTATTAAAAGTTTTAAATATAATTACATTTTTGAGAAATTTGAGATTAAAAATGTATTAAAAGTAATTGAAATTCAGCGTTTAATTTTATTGTTTATAAAAATTAAATTTCTACAAAAAATGTTATTATTAATGGAAATAGTTGAATCTCTGTAAAAAATGTTATTTATAAAAATAATTAAATGTTCGCCTAGAATGTTATTAAATTGTTTTTTAAATAATTGAATTCTTTTGGAAAATTTTATTAAAATATTAAATATTAAAAATTATTGAATTGAGGAAAATTTTGAAAATAATTGAAATTTTATCAAGAATTTTATTAAAATTTTTGAAAATAATTGAATTTCGGAAAAGAATTGAATTATTTTTAAAAATAATTGAAATTTTGACGAGAATTTTGAAAAAATTTGTGAACATAATTGAATTTTTGCAAAGAATTTTATTACTTCTGAAAATAATTGAATTTATGCAGTCATGGGACCATTTTATTTCAATTTTAATTAAATTATTACCAAATCTAGAAACATTGTGTATTAATTAGCAAATTGTGTACTGAATATTAAATTAATACTTAATTAGGAAATATATTTATTATAAAAACAATTTTACCCAAAATATCTACACTGTCAATAAACGATTGTTCTAAATTTCCTAATGTTTAAATTAACCAGAGTTACTTGTTTAAAACTAGTTATTTATGTTCTGCACAAGCTGCAATGGAGTAAGTGATTTTCATTTCCCTTTGACAAGCTCCGTTTCCCTGGTTACTAAAATACATCTAAGCCGGACTTTCATTAAAATACAGGGAAGCCTATTTTCATAAATGATTTCCATCCACTTGTAAATTATGTAACATTGAACACCTTCGTTTTTTCTATAAAAAAAATACTAACTTTACAAGAGTTTATTATTTGAAGCAATAAAGCAATATCGAAATTGGAAAAAAAAGTTATATTTTTCATATTTCGATATCCAATTATTAACTACATATATTGAAATCGTTATATTGCTTCAAATAATAATTTATACGTTTACTTTTCAGAGTACAGTAATAACATGAGTTGTGGAATCAAAGCTTGTAATTATTCGTTAAATTCTGATTTGCTGGGAACTACTTAAAGCGATGTTTCGATGGTTTGGAAATTATTCCAATCCAATGTAAAACAATGTTAGTATTATTGCTGCTTATGTGTATTTAATAGGCTTTGTTTAATATGCGACAATATACAGTTTAAACGTTTAATTTATTCTTAAGCGAATTTATTGTTACTATGTAATTAATTTTTAGGCGAATTTATTGTTACTAATTTATTCTCAGGCGAATTTCTTACTAATTTACTCTTAGGCGAATCAATGATAGAAAATAAACGCGTCGGTGAAAACTACTTTCTTTTCTTGTTCTACAATGTAAATTGGTGTTCAACTACATATCGCAAATGAAAGTAAACAATTCACCACCCATTTCACTAAGAAGCAGTATAAAGGTTATATTGACTCTATGGCACCAGTAATAATTAAAGTACAAACAAACTGTGTATACATACCGAAATTTATTAATTTTTCAATTTCATTTGCTAATATCCCAAACGAATAAACACTAAATTCTCATTTTCATAACACGAGGCACTGATTTTATCAGAAAAACAAACCACAAATGTAACAATTAACTGCAATTAACATTAGCCGTTAAACCGAAACTATTATCTTTATCTAGATAAAATTTGCCGGAATGAGGAAATTGTTTAACGAACTGCTGCCCCCTTGCGACACTTTTTCTAACCTCAAAGTTTTTTAATTTCAAAATATTTGTTTAGAAATTAGTTCAAGAATATTTTGTACACAATAATTTCAATAATAACTTATACAATAATCACCAATTTCAAAAATGGAAAAAACAAATATGAACGTAAAATTATATTTTCTATTATTTGCAAACAATCGTTGGCAATAATAATCGAAAATATAAACGATTGTAAAAAATTTGGCGGTATGCGGAAATTGTTTAACTCACTGCTGCCCCCTTGCGACACTTTTCCTAACCTCAAAGTTTTTTAATTTCAAAATATTCGTTTCAAAATTAGTTTAAAAGTTTATTTTGTACAATAATTTGTATATAAATTGTACAATAATCATCAATTGCAAAAATGGGAAAACAAATATAAACAAACATTTACGGAATTATATTTACGATTATAATTATAAACGATTGTAAAAAATTTGTCAGTTTGCGGAAATTGTTTAAATCACTGCTGCCCTCTTGAGACATGTTTTGTAAACTCAAAGTTGCTCAGTTTATCAATTTCAAAACAATAGTTAAAAAATTAGTTTTGTGTAATAATTTGTAGAATATAATCATAAATTACTGCAGAAATGAAAAAGAAGAATAGAATTGTACATTTATGAAATTATATTTTCGATTATTACTGAAGGAAATTTGCCTGGAAATCTACATTGAAAAAAGAAATGAATATTTATTTTGCTAAAGTAAAACATAACCTCACTTTATCTCAGGAATTGTTTTTAAGAATTCTTATTCAATTTTATGAATTTTATTAAAGTCTGTACCGATTTGCGATTTAGTAATTAATTTTCGGTATTAAATAGTAAATCACGTACTTTAATGAAAATTATCTGTTATCTGGTCTAAAAAAAAAGGAAACTTACGTGCGCGAAAAAACGCTTCGAGAAAACAGCTGTCAAAAGTAAACAAGTTTAATCAAACTCGAATGACTCGAATAAGCAAAAAAATAATTAAATTCTTTTGTCAAAAACAAGTTTCTTTAAATTTTTTGAGAATAATGTTTTTTTTAATAATTTTAATTAAAAATTTGAAAAATAGGTAATTCAATTAAACAAAGAATTTTGTCAATTTTTTAAAATAATCTTGTCTGTTCAGAATTATAATAGAAAATTTGATCAATTCAATTTTATTAAAATGTATTGCTACTAATTGAATTTCTGCAAAGAAGTTTACTATTTATAAAAGTACTTGAATCCTTCCAAAGAATGTTATTATTTATGAAAATAATTAAATGTTTGCTTAGAAATTAATTAAAATTTTTGAAAATAATTGAATTGTGGAGAACAGTTTAATTATTTATAAAAAAAAATTGAAATTTTGAGGAGAATTTAAAAAAATTTTTAAACATAATTGAATTTCTGACAAGAATTTTATTACTTTTGAAAATAATTGAATTGTTTTTTAGAATTTTCTGGAAATATTTGAAAATAATTGAATTCTTGTGAAAAATATTTTTTAAAAATAATATTCAAAAGAATTTAGTAAATCTGAAGAATTTTGCTATTTATCGAAATAATTGAATTCTTGAGAAGAATTTTTTTTTTACAGTTTCTAGAAATAATTGAATTCTTTTGACGAATTTTAATAAAATTTTTTAACATAATTACATTCTTCGAGGAATTTGATTAAAATTGTATTAAAAATAATTGAAATTCTGCAATGAGTTTTAGTATTTATGAAAATAATTGAATATATTGCGAAGAAATTTTAAAAAATAAAATAATAATAACGGTGACTAATTTCCCTTGATTATTTTCGAAAAATTTAAATAAAATTCTTTAAACGAATAAAGAAGTTAATTATTTTTAATAGAATGTAAAAAAATTTCAATTATATAAAAAATTTTCAATTATTTGTCTATAAAAATTCAATTATCTTGAAACAACACAATTGAAAAATTTCAAAAATCGATTATTTTATAGAATTATCAAAAAAAATTTGCGAAAATTCAATTTTATTAAAAAATTTAAAGTGTGTTTCTTTTTTTAAATTAACTAATAAAAATTTTAATTATTATTTTCGGTTCAATTTCACAAAATTTCTACTAATTCGATAATTTTTTTTAAATATATTTACGTACTATATTTGAAACATTAACTGGTTTTTTACAATCAAATTATTAATTATTTTTAATTAATTTAAATTTAGAGAACAGTATAAAAATCTAGAAAAATTGAAATAAAAAGCGATTTTTTAAAAACAAATTAAAATAATAAAACTTTTACTCACATTATTTTCTCTTCTTTCCAGAATTGGTGGCCAATTAAAAGAGTCATGGAATCTGCGATCCACAAGTCAACAGTTATTCTTGGAATGAAACTCACAAGGCCACGACGGTAAAGTGCAAAAACCTGTAAAAAAAAAGAAAGACACGAAAAAGATGTAAGTGCTTCTACATTATCTGTGCGGGTGTTCAATGAATGAAGAGAACGTAGGTGGTCCTGATGGATGGGAAAATTGAGAGATGAAAAAAAATTCAATTAATATAATTGAAGTACCAACGAGAGACTCAAGAAAAAAAGGATATTAAATTTTCTCAAAGACTTGATGCATATAAAAATCTTCCATAAACGATTAGAATGCATTATTTCTGAGTTGTGTTTGTCTACTCAGTGAGTAGTAAGTATCAAGATAATGTCAGACTACGAGAGAATACGGCTCGTCGTGCTAGGAGGTGCAGGAGTTGGAAAAAGCGCAATTATCCGCCGGTTGCTTGGCCAAGGATTCACGGACAGATATCGAGCGACTGTCGAAGATCTTTACTCCCGAGAATGCATTCTGGGAACTTTAACGCTAAAAGTGGATCTCCTGGATACTGCAGGTAATTCTGATCAATCAGAGAAATTTACTTTTTTCAAACTGTTCACGGTGAAAGGGGCATAATTATAAAACATGATTACTTGAAGTAGTCGATCACTCCGAGTCTTCGACTTCTTCATGTTTTATAATAATCAATAACAATTAAAGATGACCGAGTGATAAAATCACTATTTTATATTACAACAATATTATTACTGTTACTTCTTCAAAATTATTTTCAAAAATTTCAATTCAATTATTATTTTCTAGAATTTTTAACTAAAATCCGTCTTTAAATTATTAAAACATTAATTTTTAATAATTTTTGACAAAGTTCTTTGAGAATTTTCAAATACATTTTTTTATAATTTAATTTTACATAAATTTCATTGATTATTCGAAAATTCTTCAATTGTATTATAAAAATAAAAAACGGAAAATAAAAAATTTGAAATAATTTCAAAACAAATTCGAATAAAATTTTGAAAAAAATTAATCCTTCAGAATTGTTATAGTTAAAAGTATGAAAAATCGAAATTTTCAAAGATTTTAATTTGAAACCTTTTGAAAATTCAATTATTTCTAAAAATTCAAGCTATAAAGGTTTAATATTCAATTATCTAAAATTTCAACAGAAATTAATTTTTAAATCAATTTTTATTCGAAAATTCTACTAGAATTCAATTATTTAAGTACAAAAATAAATAATTTATTAAATAATTAAATATTTCTTAAAATAGAATACTCACAAAGAATTTTATCGACAAGATTTAAATAATTGAATTCTTTAGACGAATTTTAATAAAAAATTTTTAGTATTTTTTAGAATAATTACATTTTTTGAAGAATTCGATAAAAACTGTATTAAAAATAATTGAAATTCTGCGATGAGTTTTATTAATTATGAACATAATTGAAATTTCAACAAGAATTTTTTTTAATTTTCGAACATAATTGAATTTTTGCGAAGAATTTTATTATTTACGTAAATAATTGAATTTTTTAGAAGAATTTCATGAAAATTTTTGAAAATAATTGAATTATTACATAAAATTTTTTTTAAATATAATTAAATTCTTTTATTGAAAAATTTTATTAAAATAGTAAATATCGAAAATAGTTTAATTCAAGGGAATTTTTTAATACAATTGAAAATTTGTCAAGAATTTTATTGAAATTTTTATATATAATTGAATTTTACATAGAATTTTATTAAAATTTTGGAAAATAATTGAATTTTGGAGAAAAAAGTTATTATTTCTAAAGATAATTGAGATTTTTAAGAAAATGTAAAAATGTTTTAAATATAATTGAATTCTTACGAAGAATTTTATTACTTTTGAAAATAATTGAATTTCTGCATTAATTTCCAAAATACGTTCTATAAAGCTTTTAATTTTCAATTGTTACCTAAAAGTTTCAACCAAAATTCATTTTTAAATCAATTTATGTTAAAAAATTGTAGGAGAATTCAATTATTTAAATACGAAAAAAAAATAATTTATTGAATGTTTCTTAAAATTAAATTCTTGTAAAGAATGTTATCAACAAATTTTTAAAGAATTGAATTCCTTTATCAAATTTCATTAAAATTGTAGACATTCAAAATCATTGAATGGAGGTAAATTTTTGAAAATAATTTAACTTCTGATGAGAATTTAAAAGAATTTTTGAAAATAATTGAATTTTGGAGAAAAATGTTATTATTTATGAAAAAAATTGAATTTTTGCAACGAGTTTTATTAAAAATTTTTAAGAATAAATACATTTTTAGAGAAATTCGATTAAAAATATATTAAAAGTAATTGAAATTCAACGATGAATTTTATTATTTATAAAAATAATTGAATTCCTAACAAAAATTTTATTATTTATAAAAATGATTGAATTCCTAATAAAAATTTTATTATTTATGGAAATAATTGAATCTTTGTAAAAAATATTATTTACGAAAACAAGTAAATGTTAGCATAAAATTTTATTAAAATCTTTTTTAAATAATTGAAATTTTGACACGAATTTTATTAAATTTTTTGAAAATAATTGAATTTCGTAGAAGAATTTTTGTTATTTATAAAAATAATTGATATTTTGACGAGAACATTTAAAAAATTTTGAACATTATTGAATTTCTGCGACGAATTTTATTACTTTTGGAGATAATTGAATTTTTGAGAAGAATTTTATTAAAATTTTTGAAAATAATTGGATTTCTGAGAAGAATTTTATTGTTGATAAAGATAATTCAAATTTTGACAAGAATTTTTTTAAGTTTTTGCACATAATTGAATTTCTGCAAAAAATGTTATTATTTACGAAAATAATTGAATTTTTCTAGAAAATTTCATTAAAATTTTTGAAAATAATTGAATTAATTTAGTTAAAAAGAAATTATTGTTACAAATAGAAGAAATTAAAGTTTTTGTATTATAATTCGAGGAAATTTCATAGTTTATGAGGCAACCAAAAAAAAAAAATCACCAAAATTCAGAATTTTCTCATGAATTCTAAAAAAAAAATTAATTTTTTTCTTGTACTTTTCATAAAAATCCCTGACTTTTTCCTGACCTGTGACAACCCTATTTAAAAGCTTCCTGTTTTAGAATATGAAGATAATTATAATATTCAGGTAAATATCGAAGTATTTTAGAAATATTAAAATAAATTAATATTCTGCAGGAGACTTACAATTTCCGGCCATGAGAAGGTTGAGCATAGCAACAGCTCATGCCTTCCTTTTGGTTTATGCCACAACATCACTACCAAGTTTCGAATGCGTCAAACGGTGTTTTGAGGAAGTCCGAGAACAAAGGCCGGATTTTCAGGTATTAGAGCGATAAATATGCGTACAATACCGTATAACTGCATTTCAAATGATAGAGGATACAATCCTTTCTGAAATAATAGGGAATTAAATACATATATATATGTATATGTGTATTTATAATCATCCAAAGAATAGAACTCTTAAAAATATGCCATCTTTTCAAACAAACACTTTCTAAACATAAACCATTTTATTCTTTCATAAGCTAATATTCCCCAGTCACTGAATTCATAATTTTATATTAAAATCCCCTGAAAATTCAATTAAATTTCAATTATAAAGATATTTAAAATTTTCTCGCATATAATATTGACACACATTTATTTTCCACTTGTTATTTCCACTTATGTGAGCTCCATTATTTTGAATATAAAGCGCATGCTATTTGACAATTAGAGAACTTAAATTGAGAATAAACTTTTATTACTTTTAAAACATATTTAACGGTTTTGTTTTATTCCTTTGTGACAGGAAGTACCCATAGTCGTAGCGGGAAATAAATTGGATCTCGCAACAACACGAAGGGAAGTTGCTATTGAGGATGTGAGTGAATGGCTTTTCTGTGAACTTCCCAAACTCAGGGCCAAAGTCATTGAGTGTTCCGCTAAAGACGACTATAACATTAAAGACATCTTTAGATGTTTCGTAACTCTCTCTAGAATTGTTCCTAAAAATCCTACCGGAGAAACTGACGAGTCCGGACTTAGAAGAAGATGTTCAGCATATGGTTCCCGAAGGTATTTTTTTTTTCTTTTTTTTGCCTCACTTTTATAAAAAGAAAAAAAGCCCAAAGTAATTTGCAACTCTATTCTCTTCTCCTATAAAATTATACTTTCTTCTTTATTCGCATTTCTAACTTTTATCAGATATTTTACAAAACTTTCGTCTAATAAGAATAATTTACAACAGAAATATTTTTACTAAATCGAAAAAGCTTCATCTACATTATTAAAAATAGTTTCTGCACTTTTATACTCGAAATTTTTTAACTCAAACGTAATTGAAATCAATCGAGGAAAAAAATTATATAAGTGGAATTCATTAATAATTTTTTTCTTTCACAAATCTTGAATTTCAAGGTCAGGTAGTCCTAGCAAAACCGGAAGCACTACTTCAGGAAGTCCTCAACAAGTTCTGGCAGCACAAGGTTCAAGCGTTGTGACTGTCGTTGAAGAGGTGAAAAGTAAACCTCGAAGTAGGAGTCTCATCAGACGAGCTTCCAGAAAAACAAAGCAACAAATCAGAGACGCTCATTCAGATGATTGCAATATTTCCTAAAAATTATTATTCACAATAATGCCAAAACCTTCAAATCAAAATATCCCATTACAAGTGAGTATTTATATTTGCAAAAAAAAAATAAATTTCCCCACTAGTTTATAATTCAAATTGAGTTTAAATTATATTATCCAATAAACAAATTATTATTATTCTACAAAAAGAAAAAGTTTTTTTAAATTTACTGAAATTGAAAGAGGAGAAATTTATTCATATAAAATTTTTAATGAAGTCACACCGTTGCACGTTTTTCACAATCACTTTTTTAATTAATGTATTTTAATTGAAACTCTTTCCCCATTTTTCGATCATATAATGATTTACATTATTCAGTTTTTAAATTTCATAATTATTTCTCTGCGTGGAATATTATACATTTTTTTTTTTTTTGTTATTTTGAAAATGGTCTAGTTTGGAGCAATATTCTCTTTTTTAATTTAACTATTAAATATTAATAATTAAAAGAAAAAAAAATCTTTACTCTATTAATAAATTAAGTATAAAATATAAATATCACAGTTTTTCTGAGGATAGCAAATTGAGACAAAATACAAATCAAAAAAGTTGCGAATTGGATTCGTTTTTGTCTCAATTTGATATTCTTAGAAAAACTCAAATCAATTTATAATTCTAAACGGAAAATTATTTTAAAATTATAATTGTTTAATTTTTCCCAAAGTTCTGATCGTTCAAATCGACGAAATTTTTTTATCTAATACCAGCAAATCAAAATTTTAAAAACTCACTTACTAAGTACATAATTAATTGTTATTGTTTATGTTTGCAAAAATTTTAATATAATTCTTCTCAAGAATTCAATTATTTTTATAAATAGTAAATTTTTTGCAAAAATTCAATTATTTTCAACAAAAGTTTAATAATAATCGTTTATTTTCTTCCGTTGTTGTAATTTGTTAATGTTTTATAAAATAAATAAAATTTATAAAATTTTCCAAAAGAATTCGATTATTTTCTAAAATTTTAATAAAATTCTTCTCAAAACTTAAATTATTCTTTATAATTATAAAATCTTTGCAAAAATTCAATTATTTTCAACAAAAATCTAATAAAATTTCACGAAAATATACAATTATTTTCCAAAAATTTTTCAATAATTCTTCGCAAGAATTCAATTATTTTTATAAAAGGTAAATTTTTTTGCAAAAATTCAATTATGTTCAACAAAATTTTCATAAAATTTTACGAAAAAATTCAATTATTTTTTTTTAATAGTAAAATCTTTGCAGAAATTCTATTATTTTCTAAAATTTTAATAAATGCTTCGAAAAAATTCAATTATTTCTTTAAATAGTAAAATCTTGCAAAAATTCAATTTTCTTTTATAAATATTAAAATTCTTCTCAGAAATTCAATTATTTTCAATATAATTTTAATAAATCCTTCGAAAAAATTTCAATTATTTTTTTTAAATAGTAAAATCTTTGCAAAAATTCAATTATCTTTTATAAAAAATAATAAAATTCTTCTCAGAAATTCAATTATTTTCAATACAATTTTAATAAATCCTTCGAAAAAATTTCAATTATTTTTAAAAATTTTAATTAATCTTTTGAAAAAATTCAATTATCTTCTATAAATAATCAAATTCTTCTCAGGAATTTAATTATTTTTCAACCCACTTTTAATAAACTTTAATAATAAAATATTTAATTATAATTATTAACAGACACAATTATTTTCAAAAGTTGAAAAATTTTTTTGCTTAATTCAATTATTTTCGAAATTTTTAATTAAAATTTGATTAAAAAAACTACATTATTTTCAAACAAACTTAAAGAAACTCTTCAAAAGAATGTATTTATTTAGAAAAACTCTAATAAAATTGTTGAAAATAGTATAATTTTCTATCAATAATTTTAATAAAATTTTAATAGTAAAATTATTAATTACAATATAATAACAAAGTCGATTATATTCAATAAATTAAAGAAATTTTTTGAAAGAATCCAATTATTGTCAAAATCTTTAATAGTGTCTATTTTTCGAAAGAATTTAATTATTTTCTATATATTTTAATAAAATTTCTCGAATAAATTACATTATTTTAGAAAATTAAAAAAAAATTGTAATAAAATTCTGATTTTAGAATTATATATTTTAATTATTTACTAAAAATTTTAATGAAATTTAATAATTAAATATTTAATTTAAATTATTAAGGAACAAGATTATTTTTAAAACTTGAAAGAAATTGTTCATATAAATTCAATTATTTTCAAAATTTCAATTAAAATTATCGAAGAAACTTCATTTTTAAAAAAAATTCAAAGAAATTCTTCAAAAGAATTTAATTATGATGTTTAAAAATATCAATTTTAAGTGGAATTACAGTTCTAATTTTCAAAAATAATCAATTATTTTATCACTTATTTTTGTATACAAATAATTGAATTCTCGCACAACTTTTTTAGAACAATTGATTTGAAGAAGAATTGCGGTTAAAGTTTTAGAAAATAACTGAAGAATTGGAAGAATTACAGTTTTAATTTTTGGAAATAATTAAATTTCAAAAGGTTTTACATATATGGAAAGTATTTTGAAACTTTTATTTCTGGTGAGAAAAGATTTGAAAAAAAATAAATTATATAAAAATTTACTAGCGATTCTAAAGTTCCGAACGTTCAAATGAACAAAATTTATTTATTTCTTTATCGAATGAATTTTTTTATTAAAATAATTTTGCGTTACTGTAAAAAATATTATTTATAAAGTTTCTAAATGTGAAATTTAATTTTTTAATTTTTATTGCAATGAGTAATTTACAGAGATATGTTTATTAAAAAATATTTCGTTTATTTGAACGCTCAAAACTTGTGCATCATATTTACTAAATAAAATGGAAAATATAAATGAAATATTTTTACTTAATTAAGAATTATTCGAAAGAAATTTTTTCTATTTGATCGTTCATTATTAACGTATTTTTTAATATAGAATAATTTTTATTTTTTAATAATTTTTTTATTTTTAATTTTTTTTTACAGAGTAATTTTTTTTTTTTTTTGGTAAAAAAAAATTAAAGCAAGTAACAAAAACATCGTCGTTTATTTGAACGTTCGGTACTTTAGAAAAATATTCCTTAAAAAATTTACTAATGAAAAATACAATTAAAACAGGGTTCAGTTACGAATTTCAAGAAAAGATTTAATGGATGATTGAAACAGGATATCAGGAAACAATTTTTTAGAAGAAGGAATTAAATAAGAAAAATGAATAGTTTTGAAAAAGAAAACTATTATTTGAGAGCCGACGAAAAATATTAAATATTTCAATATATTGAAGTTTACACTTGGAAAAAAAAGAAGGAGGAATTTTGAAATGTAAAACTAGAAGGACTGCATCATTAAATTGTGAAACTTGATTCCAAGAAAGAACTGAATGTTCAAAAGACAAAGTCAAAAGAAGTGAAGGAAGAAGACGAAGACTGATCTGAAATATGGGTATATGCACCAAGAAATCAAAAGGAAAACAGAAAAATAAGAGCAAAGGTAAGATTTGCAACATCAAACGAGACTTCATATCTTACTTTTCCTCTATTCTATAGTCTTATCGATCGTTACTATATAAAATGGAAAAATGAATTTGCATACAACTTCTTATCAATTAAAAATACGCGTATTTCACGTACTGTTAAAAATCCAAATTTTCACAAAAAAAGTGTATTTGACCAAAAAATAAAAACACTAATGTTTACAATTCATTCTATTTGAAAAAATAAACATTTTCTTTTGCATAATTTATCCACCAACAAAAAATTTCATTTTTACAAATTATAACATAAAAACAATTTTTTTTTCCTTATCAATTTTTTACAAATTTTTACCCACTTAAAAAGTAATTTACATAAATTTTATTAACGCCAGCAAAAAGGGATACAATCCCTCTCTCATATGTGATGTATCAAAATCATTTCTGCCATTCGATAATTTTTGTAATTACAAAGAAAAAAGTTATTAAAACAAAAAAAAAAAATATCCGCCCAACCAAACGTTAATTGATAGAGTTTCTTAAAAAAAAAACAAAAAAAAAATGTTTGCGAGTATGAATGTGTGCGTGCAATAATAAATTCGTATTTCATATTATAATAGAGTTATTTTAAAACGTCAATGATGCAGTGAAAAAAATTGCCTTTAATTAGGAATCTTGTATACTAAAAAAGTAATTTTCATTAAAAATGAATTTTTTCCCAATGCAGAAAAGAATCCAAATTAATTAAGTATTCTCGAGAATAAAAAGAAACTTTTTAATTACTCGTTTAGAGAAACTCAGTGAAAAGATTCATTCTCTTTTTTTTTATAATATATAGTTCTTAAAGTGTGACATTAATATCAAATAGAGAAAAATCGCAAAAATAAAGTAAATATGAAATTAAAAAATTTTTATTTTTCATTCATAGTTTCGAAAAATAGCAAAGCTATTGAAAATTAGAGAGGAAATTATGAAACTAAACAGAATATTCTGAAAGTTAATCAATTTTCTTATTAATTTCCGAAAAAAAGTAAATTACAAAAATTTCTTAAAAAAATATTTTTAAATATTTAAAGTGATTTTAGAATATTACTTAAATGTACAGGCCTCGGATTGAGTTTAACGAACAAAAAAAGTCGCTTTACTTGATTAAAAATAGAAAAAAAAAGTCGAAAAAGTCGTTTATTTAATTTAGTGTTGTCACAAAAATTTTATTTTTTATTTCCCTGATTCTTCACTGATTTTTAAATTCAGTTAATTAAAACTTGTATAATTTTGCTAAATAAATATTTTAATACTTCTTATTTCTTCTTTCACAGGAAATAAAATAAAAAAAATTTCAACTTCTGAAATTTAATGATTTCTAAAAATTAAAACTATAACCTTTCCAAAAATTCAATTATTTTCTGTAATTTTTAACTAAACTTCATTTTTAAATCAATTGATCTATATTAATTTTTAATAATTTTCCGAAAATTTTTCGAGAATTCAATTATTTAAATACAAAAATTCAATTTCTTATAATAATTGAAACTGTCCATTTTTTTAAAGATATTAAGGTAGAATATTTTCAAAAATTTTAATAAAGAAATTCGTAAAATTAAGTATTTAAAAATATTTCTAAATAATTTTTGAAAGACAATAGTTTTACAATCATACAATTATTAAAATTGATTTTGAATAAAGATTTTGACAAATTTCAATTTTTTGAACATTTGTCCAAATAATTGAAATATGGCAAAATCTTTTAAAAAATAATTGAAATTTAGTAAAATCTTTGAAAAATAAATAAAATTTAGTAAAATCTTTGAAAAATAATTGAAATTTGATAAAATCTTTCAAATATAATTGAGTTTTTAAAAAATATTAAAAAATAATCAAATTTTTTGAAGAATTTTATTTATAAATATTTTTTCAAGAATTCCAAAATAGTAAATTTTTAAAAATTTTAATTTACTTTGTTCGAAGGTAATTGAATCTTAAAAAATTAGAACAAAATAATTCAGAGAATTACTTTTTTTCAAAACTATTTTAATATTATTTTTAGAACCTAATTTTCATTAATTTTCATTTTTATTGAATTTACACTTGAAGATTATTCATTAAAATTTTTGGAGAATTTAATTATTTCCAAAATTTTCAATAAAAACTTTTTAAAAGTTATTTTTCAAAAATTGTAACAAAAAATACTTGAAAAAATGATTTATTTTCAATTAAATTTTACAAAATTTCAATTAATAAAAATCTTTTTAATTGTATTTCAAAAATTTAAGTAGAAAAATTATTCAACAAAATAATTCAGAGAATTACTTTTTTTCAAAACTATTTTAATATTATTTTTAGAACCTAATTTTTATTAAATTTACACTTGAAGATTGATTATTCATTAAAATTTTTGAGAATTCAATAAATTATTTCCAAAATTTTCAATTAAAATTCTTTAAAAGTTAATTTTTAAAAATTAATAAAAGTAATAAAATACTTGAAAAAATGATTTATTTTCAATTAAATTTCACAGATTTTCAATTATTCAAAATCTTTTTTAATGGATTTCAAAAATTTAATTAGAAAAATTATTCAAAAATAAATTTTCAAAAGATTTATCCACAGCTATTTTTTATACTGTAAAAATCGAAAAAAGTTGCATTATTTGAAAATAGTTGGAAAAAAGTCGAAAAAGTCATAATATTCATCCGAGGCTTGTATGTATGAATTTATATCGAATTTTTCTTTTAATTTTATCTTTAGTATAATTAAAATATAATTTAAAAAAATATATAGTCTGTAAACCCTTTAGACATGCAAATTTTATATGTTTCATGATTCTATTTAGCTTTAATGTAAATTTACTTTAATTAAAACGAAACCTCATACTAATATGCGCAAAGTTTTTAAAGGTTTACATTATTAAAAAAATTTAAGTATATATTCAGTATAAAAGTAATTTTCTTTCAGATGCGTTAGAATCGTGTGATTAATATTTCGCTAAAAAATTATTTTATGTTACATTTAATTAACGAAAAAAGTTCCTTTTGAAGAATAAATAAAAGATATTTTTTTAAAGTGGAAAAAATAAAAAATGGAAAAAATAAAAACGGAAAAAATAAAAAATGGAAAAAATAAAAATAGAAAAAAAAAATTAGAAAAAATTAAAAAAATAAAAATGGAAAAAATAGAAACAATAGAAATTAAAATTGAAATTTAAATTTAAATTTAAATTGTTTGATTAAATTATTTTATTTGTAAAATCTTTTAAATATTTAAAAATCCTTTTCGTTTCTAAAAAAAAACTCGAGAAATAATAATTATTGAAAGAAGTGATAATTTTCTTTGATTAAATATTAATTATTTTCTTCCCTCGTATAAATTCGATGAAAAGAATTATTCGTTCTTACATCTGTACTTAAAAATAATGACAAGATCAATTATACAGATGACTAAAAATGAGCAAGGATTAAATTATCAAAAGACGTCAAGGCAAAAAAAAAATTAAAATTGATTGGTGTCTTTTGGAAAGACATTTCCTTGAAACTCCATACACATAATACATAGAAAGAGAGAGAGAGAGAATAAAAAAAAAGGTTCTTGATGATGCTGCTTCACTGGTATATCGATTTATTATGTGTTAGTACAACTTTGAAACTTGAGCGAGTCAACCGTATTTATGAACGTTATCTAGGGGTGGACCGACACGACTTCGGATCTCATGAGAGTCTTGAAAGCTTCAAGAGCAGTTTGACTTCCAAAAGCAACGAATCCAATTCACTATTATATATTGCAATCCTTTCACAAGCAAAAAGATTTTTCAGTACAATAATAGGAACATTTAATACATATGCATACGAGAAATATCAAGTAGACTTATTGTTGAAATAAATTCTCAATTATTTTCAATATTCAAATTTCAAAAAAAAAAAAAAAATTTCATTCAAAAAAAAAAAAAAAAAAATAGAAAAAAATCCAAACCTTAAAAAAAGTATTTCACTGTACAAAAATTGGATCAATTTATTAAACCCATAATTCTGTAAATTTGCATTTCGAATTTAAATTTGCATTATTTGAATCGAGTAATAAAGATTCTAACATTTTTGCGCTCTCATAATTTATTCACAATGTTATCAAACATTATTTGTCATTAATCAAAATGTCACAAAATATTTCCTTTTTTTTTCTTTTTTGATAAAATATTCTTTGATAAGAAAATATATTGTATATTAAGTTGTAACATTTATCGATATAAAAATTATGTATAGGAATATTTATTACTTTCTTTTATCAATATAAGAAAAAAAAAAGTTTAAAAAAAAAATTCTTAGTGTAAAGAATTTCAGGACTCGATTGACCTGATTTCCCTGAATGCAATGCACAAGAGGGATTGATCTAGATTTGAAAATGCTAGTTTCACATTGCAATATTGTCTTGATGTATTCCAAATATCAAATATATTTAGTTTATAAATTATAAACTTGATGCACACACGCATATAAATATTATATCTCAAAGCGCGAAGAGTTCATGTTTATTTATTCATTATTTACTGACAGAATTAATATTTGAAAATATTGAAGTTGCGGTATATTGTTGGAAAAAAAAATATATATACATATATTATATGACTCTGACGATAAATCATTTTATTAAAATTTTTGCAATTAAATTAGTTTTGAGAAAATAAAAACTAATTTTGAAACATCGATTTCAGGATTGACAGAAAAATTTTATTTTGTTTTTCTGGTAACTTTTCCCTGATTTCTAAACAAAATTTTGACTTTTTAAAATTAAAATTCTTATAAGAATTATAAAACATGAAAATATCAATCACTCCGAGTCTTTGACTCGGAGCCATCGAATAATTAAAAATGACTAAAATTTAAATCAATTTTCATTAGAAAATTCTACGAAAATTCAATTGTTTAAATAATACAAAAATGCATAATTTATTGGATAATTACAAATGCTTCTTAAAATTGAATTTTCATAAGGAATGTTGTCAACAAATTTTTATATAATTAATTTCTTTTGACGAACTTTAATAAAACTTTTAAGAATAATTACACTTTTCGAGAAATTCGATTAAAATTGTGTTAAAAATAATTAAAATTCTGCAATGTGTTTTATTATTTAGGAAAATAATTGAGTTCTTAAAAACAATTTTATTATTTATGAAAATAATTGAATCTCCGTAAAAAAATTTATTGTTTATAAAAATAATAATTGAATTCTTTTAAAAAATGTTATTAAAAGAATAGTAATTGAAAATAATTA